CATTAAGATTTGAAATAAACTGTGTTCTTTCGATGTCTGAATGAATGTGTGACTTTGACAGCACTTGAATGGTGAAACTTAACACAGCATGGTGTTTTCACACTCAATTTCCCCCTACCTACCCTCTCTCCAATATCCACTATGCCTCCCTTACCCCATCAAAAAGAGCAAGTTATCAAAAGACAAACCCCATGTGCGGCAAAAAAATACACAGTAAGAAAAGGCAAAGAACATGTCTTTAAGTGTTTCTCACCAATTCGAGTTTCTTCTTTAGTGAATTCTGGTCTTAGATCTCTACCACATTTTAAAATTGGATCATTTGATTTTTGATATCTAGTCTCTTGAGTTTTTATATATTTTGGATATTTGTCCTCTATCCGATATGGAGATGGTAAAACCCTTTTTTATATTCCTTCGGCTGCTGCTTCGTCTCAGTGATAGTGTCCTTTGCCTTAGAGGAGGTGTTCTGTTTCCTCAATCTCTATTTAATAATTGTTAGTCTTAGTTTGTGCACTAGTGATGTTCTTTTAAGAAATTATTCTCCTATAAAAAATCACTGCAAGGTTCTCACCTACTTTCTTTTCTAGCAGGTTCAGGGTATCTGGTTTTATGCTAAGGCACGTGATAAATTTGGACTTTAGTTTTGAGCAGGGTGATCAGTATGAATCTGTTGCAGGATGTCTTCTATATGCAGATATTTGTTGAAGATGCCTTATTTTTTCAACTGTGTATTTTTATCTTCTTTATCAAAATCAGGTATCCATATGTGTGTGAATTTATATCTAGGACTTCAATTTGACTCACATTTTAAGTTTTACTGTGGTAAATTTATGGACATCATTGTACTACATTAGAGAAAAATAATATTACCTAAAATTAGAAATGAGGACAGTTATGTGTGGTAGTGCATGTCTTTAATCCAAGCACATTGGAAGCACAGGCAGAAAATCTCTGCCCTCTGCCTTGACAGAACTAAACTGAAACTGGACAGAGATATGCATTTTCCCCATTCTTCGTCAAAATAGTCTTTAAAATGTTGAGGATTGGGAAAAAAGGAAAACAAAGAAGAAGGAAAGATTTTAGCCTGGTCAAGAAAGACAATTGCCCTCAACCAACGCTACACAGTGAGACATTGCTTCAACTATAACAGAAAAGGAAACATTGTAGTTATCCATATCCATGTGATCCAGTGCATAGGAGATGCAAAAAAGGATGCAAAGTTAGCAAGTAAGAATTTGGAACTTTCTGATAGAATGTATAGATCGCCATCACCAGGTACATGGTAATACAAAGATATATACATATTTTTTTTTACTTTTTTATTTTATGACTTTATTTTACATATCAGCCACGGATTCCCCTGTCCTTCCTCTGCATTTCCCCCAGCCCTCCCCCAATTCCTATCTCCCCCAGGGCAAAGACTCCCCTGGGAATTCAGCTCAACCTGGTAGATTCAGTCCAGGCATTTCCAGTCCCCTCCTCCCAGGCTGAGCTAGGTGTCCCTGCATAAGCCCCAGGTTCCAAATAGCCAGCTCATGCATTAAGAACAGGTCCTTGTCCCACTGCCTGGGGGCCTCCCAAACACTTCAAGTTAATCAACTGTCTCACTTATCCAGAGGGCCTGATACAGTTGGTGGCTCCTCAGCTGTTGGTTCATAGTTCATGTGTTTCCATTAGTTTGCCTATCTGTCCCTTTATCCAACCTTGGTCTCAACAATTAAGTGAAGGTGACGAAGAGGATGGAGATGAAGACGAGGAAGCTGAGGCCCCTACAGGCAAGCGGGTAGCTGATGATGAGGAGGATGACGATGTTGACTCCAAGAAGCAGAAGACTGACGAGGATGACTAGACAGCAAAAGGAAAAGCTAAACTTAAGGCCACTGTGACCTATTCACCTTCAACTTCCCATCTCAGAATTTAAACGTGGTCACCTTTGAGTAGAGGAACTGGCCCCGCCCGCCCACAGCGGGCAATGCCACCCACACATGGCATGGCACTCTCCACCACTCCACCAAAACCACATGAATTTGCAACAGGGGAGGATAAAGGAACCAAAACTTCCAAGGCCCTACTTTTTTCTTAAAAATATTTTAAAAGGAAAATTTGTTTGTATTTTTTATTTACATTTCATA